ACCCCAAATATCCAAAGCAACCTTTAAAAAAAAAAAACAAAGCTAGAAGTATCACAACTCTGGACTTTCAAGTTATATCACAAAACTTTGGTAATCAAAAACAGCATGATACTGACACAAAAATATCCACATAGATCAATAGAACAGAACAGAAAACTCAGAAATAAACCCACAATTGTAAAGTCAATTAATATTCAACAAGGCAAGAAAAAATATCCAATGGGAAAAAGAAACAAATAATTCAACTAAAAAACGGGCAGAAGACACAAATAGAATTTTTTTTCACGGAAGACATACAACTAACAGACACATGAAAAGATGCTCAACATCACTCATCAGGAAAATTCAAATCAAATCTACAATGAGATATCACTTCACACTGGTCAGAATGGCTAAAATCAGTAACACAAGAAATAGCAGGTGTTGGAGAGGATGTGGAGAAAGTGGAACATTTATGTAGTGGTGGTGAGAACACAAAATGGTGCAGCCACTCTGGAAAATAGTATGGAGTTTCCTCAAAAAGTTAAATAGGGAACTACTCTACATTCTAGCATTTGCATTGCTAGGTATTTATGCAGAGAATACATAAATACTAATCCAAGGGGTACATTCACCTTGATGTTTATAGCAGCATTATCTACAATACCCAAACTATGGAAACAGCTCAAGTGACCCTTGATTGATGAATGGATAAAGAAGATGTGATATATATGATACATACACACACAAACACGCACACATACATATATACATACAATGGAGTATTACTCACCATATAAAGAATGAAATCCTGCCATTTGCAATGACATGGATGGAACCAGAGAGTATTATGCTAAGTAAAATAAGTCAGTCAGAGAAAGACAAATACTATATTATTTCACTCATATGTGAAATTAAAGAAACTAAAAAGTGGGCAAAGGGGAAAGAAAAGAGGGAAAGGCAAACCAAGAAACAGACTCTTACCTGTAGAGAACAAGTTGATGGTTACCAGAGGGGAGGAGGTGGGGAGATGGGTACAATAGGTATGGGGATTAAGGAGTGCACGTGTCATGATGAGCACCGGGTGAGTATGGAAGTGTTAAATTACTATATTGTACACCTGAAACTAATATTTACACTGTATGTTAACTAACTGGAATCAAGATAGAAATGCAAAAAATTAGAGGGGACTTTTTCTGACTTTCCAAACTGAAAGTCCACTGAAAGGTGGAAAAGATTTCTCTCCAACTCCTTTTGGAGTTAGGTGTCACGCACGGGTTGTGGAGAGACTGCTATTGTCCACCAGATATCTATGATTTTCTTCCCTCATGTGCTGTTGTCATGGAGAAGCAGCTCTCCAGTAAGGAACTACATTTTCCAACAACTTTTATGTTGGGTAGACGCCTGAGACTCAGTTTCAGTGAGTGGCGAGTGAGCCAAAGTAATATTTTTAAAACAATCTCTGCTATTAGACTCTCCACTCTTTCTTCTCCTTCCTGTAGGCCAGATTTGAGGCTAAGAATAGTCACCAAAGCCAAATGTTTCCTAAGCCTGGTCCCTATGCTGTAGGGAGGAGAGCCCATGCTGTCTCTTAGACCTGATAGGAGTGGGAAATAAATTTCTATTATGTTAAGCCACAAAGAATCTGGGCTTTATTTGTTTCAGTAGCTAGCATTACATTGCTAATAAAGGGGTATAAATTAGAGAGCACTTTTTGCCCAGTAGCAATCATGGCCAAGCCACAAGGCATAACTCGACATCTGACCACAGCCTTAAACAATAAACATGTAGATGTCTCGTTAGACAGTATGATGAGAGAGTATCAGGCTACTGTGAAAAATGACCAAGAAGTCAGACTTCCAAAATGACCCAAAGCCTTCCAAAGTGACCCAAAACTACAAATCTTGCAAGAAACTACTAAGTGTTCATGAATTAAAGTATTTTCCAGACCAGTGAGGTTCAGATAACCCTTGAATAAATATCTAAATGTCTGGGTGCTTATTTAAAAACAAAATAAATCTCTAATCCTTTGGAGGTCTTGATATTAACAATGACTATTACTATAGTGGTTATGAGATGAAATCATCTATAACTAGAGGAATTATGAAGCAGTGGCTATAAAATTTCTTAGTAGAAAGGGAAGTTGTTGGGTCCTCCTCAGGCCACTTTCTCTTTGCAATTATTTCTAAATCATTACCTTATGTCAACCGTCACTACAGCAGAAACCCGATTCTCCACAACTTTTAAAAGAGATATAGATGAGTAACTGTCAAAAACAATTATTGTGCTTGAGAGAGATAGAGAGTGAATATCTGTTTTTAGTAAGGGAAAATGTTTATGTAAAGGAAAAGGACTATAAGAATTTAATAGATTGAGTACTATAATAAAGAATGATTATACAAGACTGATGTCTGCAAAATCTAGTAAAAACATGCAGTCCACTTTCCTTAGGAGACCCTGTCTCCATATAAATGCTTGGAAAGAGTCAAACCACTTGAAAGGAGGGATTTTACTGTCCTCCTGTGAAATCAGCTTTATGAGCCATTTGCTCAGCTTGTCCTGTGTCCTGTCAGGTGTGTCTCATGTTTACCATACTTGTCAGCATTTGTTCCCACCTTTCACTCCGTTGTACCTCTTAATGCACTGACAGCTTCCTTCATCAGGTTTAATGGCCTCTTTCGGACAAAGGGATAATTGACTAATCAGATCTTCTTATTTGCAATAACCCTAAGGAATGGATTTCTTAGCAGTCCCCCAGACGGTTAAAAGCATGTCCCGGGCCTATAAATGATGGCAATGAAGAAGTCACCAGGTACTCGTCATGCCCGTGGAGCAGAGGACTGAACACAGGGGTGGCCTTTTGTTGAAAATTTCCACTTCAAGCCCTCCCCTCCTAATCTTCCCCTTATTGGTTTTTAACTAATGCAAATTGCTTATTACTTTGCAAGTTAAAAGCTAGTATTTTTCTTGAGGACTATCCTGAAATTTAATTATTATAATGTAAAAAGGCAGATATCCTAAAATATTTTGCCAATGGATGCATTGAGAGACACTTCAAACTTAAGCTCTATATTTTATTTCTAGAGCGCAAGAAAGGCTCCAATTTCCTGGCAACGGAACATAGAATCAGGCCTCTACCATTATATTGAGTGGCCATTTGTTGTTTTATGTTCCCTAATTCTGCCAACAACCTCTCAAATGTGTCTTGTAGGAATCACACCTCTACTCCCACTCTCCATCCATAGAATTCACATAAAATCGACACTGTTGAGTTCCAAGGAGGGGCTGAGCAAAGTGCTGTAGTTCTCTATTGATCGATATTAGTTAGGGCAGCACTTTCCAGTCTTTATTCATGGTATGGGCCACAAAAACAAACAAAGAAAAAAATATTACTAGAATGCCACATTGAAATAAAAGAATGGAGCTACTCCAAGCCAGAGTTGACCAGTTTCTGCCTGACTATACTCCAAGGCGGAACAAATTTGATACCCCGACATATTCAAGGCATGCCAGTATCGCTATAATGCTTGGGCACAGCAGTTGAAGCTCTTGGTAAAGGTAGGCATTCACAAAACAAATTGGACCAACTTGAAGGTGAAATTAGGTTCCAATTTTGGCTTTCTTTAACAGTCTCTATTTACTTAAAGAATCAAGCTGATAATGACATAAGCCTGGCAAAGACAGGACTACTTGGAGAGGACTGAATATGAGGACCAATGGGCATGTATTTGTGCACACAATGAAAGACCTTCCCCTGAACATTTCATCTCTAAGAGTCAACAAAAGCCATTTTGCATTTACGCCACATTCTGTGATATACAATTGAAGCTCTAAATTCTGTTATATACAGATAACCTCTATATGTACTATAGTATGCTGCAACATGTTTTCATCTGTTGTCTCCTCAACTGGACTGTTAATTTGTTGAGGAAAGGAGCTATGTATTAGATTTGTATGACAAGCACAGGGGATGGTCCATATGATGAGGTACTCCATCAGGATACATGTGTGTTAAAACAAATGCAAGAATACATATTTTTAATTAAAAACTATGAATGAAATGGAATCAAGATTTGTCCTATTGTAATCCATATACCTCTAAATGACTTTATCAGCAAAGCCTTAAGAATTTGGGTACCTTGGAATATAACATGTGGAGGAAAAGAGAATGTATTAAATGACTTCGCTTAAAAATTGTATTTTCTGGGGCACCTGGGTGGCTCAGTCAGTTAAGCATCTGACTCGTGATTTCTACTCAGGTCATGATCTCATGGCTCATGGCTCCAAGCCCCACATCAGGCTCTGAACTGACAGTGGAGAGGCTGCTAGGGATTCTCTGTCTCCCTCTCTCTCTGCCCTGCCCTCTATCTCTCAAAAATAAATAAATAAACATTTTTAAAAATGTATTGCTAGATTTATTTTTTGGTAGTTCAAAGCTGTAAATACCCCATTCAAGTCAAGTGGCTTTAATGTTCAAGTAAACAAACAACTAACAGCAACAGAAATGCTAAAATCCTTATCTTCCAGTTCTATTCTCTGGTAGTTACTTATTCTATTTCCTTTCCCTAAATCTAACTGCTTCGTTTTCTCCCCCATCTACTGAAAGAGAAATCAGTTCTTATTCCCAAATCATGAAAGTAAGGACAGGTGGGCAGGAGGGCCAAAACAAAGCAGAGCACAAACCAAGCCCATTGCATTTGATTTGTAGACCTTCCCCTCAGCAAATCTCTATGACTGATTTGGTGCAAAAATTATCCTTAGGTCTGCTCTGGCGATTTTGAAGTTTATTCAAGGGAAATTAGAATAAATTAGACCTGACTTTCTTTCACAAAAAAAAAAAAAAAAAAAAAAAAAGGCTGAAGCTCCACTGAGAATTAGGAACTCGGTTCGGACTGGAAGACTCACGCCATTTTGTGTGAAGCAGGATTTTATTTACAGCGCTCTGTGTGACCTAGACAGCAGACTAACAGGGAAAAGAAGAAAGATAGGAGATAACTTTTCTTTTGTTTCTTTGTTTTTTAAAAAATATGGAACACTTCACTAATTTACATGTCGTCCTTGTGCAGGGGTCATGCTAACGTGTGTATTGTTCCAATTTTAGCATATGTGCTGCCAAAATGAGCACAAGGTCAGTTTTCAGCATTTCTTTCTACATGGAAAATCATAAGCTGAGCCCTGCAACTTTTTCTTCTAGATCTGTGCCATACATTTCCTGAGCTGTCTTAGAGTGATCCCCACTTGGAAAACCTTTTAAAGTCCTTAGATTTCAAGGCTTAAGTAAAGGTGTGTCAAGCCATGGACTCTGTCACCCTCTAGTCAACCCCTTGAAAAGAGAATCCCATGCTGATCTAGTTAATGAGTAAGTCTCTGATTTAATCAAAGAAACCATAAGCAAGACTTTCTTTCCCTCCTCTGCTTCCCACTCTAGGCAGAATACCACAGCATCATTGTGAAACGGATATTAGGTAGGCAGAACTCTTACTTCTGTCTCTTCCATATCAAACTAGATAAAAGACCTCCCCTGGTGGGGAGAGGAGAGATGTCGGTCAGAGAATATAAACCTCCAACTTTAAGATGGCTGAGTTCTGGTGATCTAATGTATAACATAGTGACTATCACTAATAATATTGCATTATATACTTGAAAGTTGCTGAGAATTAATCTTAAATGTTCTCACCATGAAAATGAAAGGATAATTATGTAAAGTGATGCAGATGTTAGCTAATGCTATGACAATAATTATATATATGACAATAATTGTCATATATAAGTATCTGAAATCAACACATTGTACACCTTAAACTTATATAATGTTGTAGGTCAACTGTATCTCTGTAAAGATGGAAAAAACCCAAAATTCAATATTCAAGTAAAATGAATATTGGAGACAAATTTGTTTTTGAAAACACTGAATTAATGACATGGAAGACAAAATTGAAAAGCCTTCTAATATACAGGGGGAAAAAGTTTTAATTTTGAAGATTCAAAGAAAAAATTCTCAAGCATCTGGAAGAATTAAGATGACAAGCAAAAAAACAAAAATTGGTGGAAAGTCATACAATTTATCTGAGAGTCAATCCAATTTAAACTGGAAGCTCTCCATGAGCCTCAAGGTGAAGCAGAATTGGGTAACTTTAGAATCAGAGTGAAGGGTGTGATGTTAAAATAAGATGGAAGATGGAAAAGAGGCATTTAAGGAGGAGTTAGATCCCTAAAGCTAAGGGACCTTCTCCTACTCCATGACTTCAGGTGGCTACTCTTTCTGCATTCCTGAAGAAATTCCAAGTTTTATTGTCTGGCGAAGATAAAAGAATAATTATCTGGAAAGGAGGATTCCACACATGGTTAAACATTGAGTACCCAATGAAAATAAGGAATCACATGACATGCAAACCATTATTAGCTCTCCTAGATCACCCTGCACTGTAGTTTGAAGCTGGCAATCTCATCCATATGTCTAATACTTCCAGTAACTTTTTATTCCTTCTTAATCATGACCAGAAATCCCAGAACTTCCATCTGAGGAAAGCTTCTCCTATATGAGATAAGGTTTAAGCCAACCAAAAGGAATAAAAGAAGTTTGGAATGAATGGAAACCAGTCAAACGTATTTTTTTACAAGATAGCACTTTACAAAGAAACCATTGATAGCAGCAGAGTGACAAGACAATAAATTATATTCATGAAACTAGAGGTACATCCTACAAGAAAAAAATATTTAGAGAGCAGAACAAGCTCTTAAAATGTAAAGCATGATAGGAAAAACATATTCTGAAATAAATATATAAACAAAACAAAATAAATTTTAAAATTTAAAAATGAACAAACACCGTAAAGTTAAGGAAATTAGCCCCATCATATAGAGCAAAAGAACACTGAGATGAAAAATAGGAGTGGAAGATAAGAAAATTGGAAGACCATTCTAGGAGTTTCAACACCTGATTAATAGGGGTTCCTAAGAGGGCAAAGGAATAGAAAAATAGAGTGATAAGAGGGAGAAAATCATTAATAAAATAATTAAAGGTAATACCATAGGATTGAAAGACATGAGTTTCTGAATGGAAGGGTCCATTTGGTGCCCAACACAGTGTAAGAAACAGACCCACAGTAAACCACATTACTGTAACATTGTACAAAAATGAAGACAAAGAGAAAAACTTAACAGTTTCCAGAATAAAAAGTAAAACAGCAGCAAAATCAAACAAACAGCAGGTTGCATACAAAGAATTAAGAATCAAAATGGCTTCCAGTGTCTAACATCACCACTGGGAGCTAACAACACGGCAATGCTTTCAAAATGCTGAAGAAAAATTATTTCCAATCCAGATTCCTATACTAATCCAAAATAACAAGTAAACACAATAAGATTAGAATAGAGATATTGTGAGACATAAATTATCTTTGAAATGTTATCTCTCACCTCTTGCTCCCAGGAAGCAGTGGCAGGATGCTTTAGCAAAATGAAGTTGACCCTGAAAGAGAATGCATGAGCAATAGGAAACATGGTCCAACACAGGAAGAGAGGTGAGGGAAGAGAATGCCTTGGATAAAGACTATAAAGGGAGCAACCTGTCCAGATTGTGTGGCAAAACATACACCAACATTCAAGCAAGTAAAAGTCAATATTTCTCTTTGTTATTGATGAGATTCATATTAGTGATTGTCTATATCTGAGATTAAATGGTGGAGAATAAAGAATGGTCTTTATGTGAATGGTTGCAATGATTCCTGCTATCTCTCTTTTAAACAACAGTTTGGCAGCATCTTTTGATTTCCAAAGACTACAACACCAAAGAAAACACATTCTCTTCCCACTGAATGAAATTTTCTTACATGGTATTTTCCATCAAATTTAAGGAACTTTCAATTGTAATTTGCAATTATATAAGGAGGAAGGACAAACAACAAAGAGGGAGAATCTAATTGATAATACACACATACAGCTGAGTCACCAAATTGCTACATCCTCACTAAAGGTAAATGAAAAGTAAACCCACCATATGGGGAGATAGCGGGAAACTAGCATGTCTCAAATTTGACACTACTTGGAGAGAGAAAAATAATCTCTTCCTGGAATTTGAACCATAAGCCAATACTCACACAGCTTTGTGGAGCGAATTCACATCATCGACATAGTTCAAGAAAACAGAAGAGTTTTAACCTAGATAATTTAATTTGGAGTAGTCTCAGGTTGGTAGAACTTCAGATGACTGGCAGAAGCAACTGCAACTCCTCTAGAAGGACTCAGTTTTCATCCTAAGATACATCCTAATTTCACATTTAAAAAGAAAGAAAAGAATATGTGCCTTAGACTCCATGACATAATATATGTAAATGCTTATAAATGCACAGAATGTCTCAGAAAGCATGACCAAGAAGGTGAAAATGGTTCCATCTGGTGAGAGGAATGAGTTAGTTTGCTTAGAAGAAGGGGGATGTGGATGGTTATTCTTAATCTTTTTCCCTTTTATTAGTAGTCTATGCTGCTTTCACAAATTGCCATAAAATTCAGAGTTTAAAGCAGTATAGGTTTATAATGTTGCGATTCTGTAGGTCAGAAGTCTGACAAAGGTCTCAGTGAGCTAAGAGCAAGGTGACCAGAAGATTGTATATCTTTCTGCAAACTCTGGGGGAGAATCTATATCCTTGCCTTTTCCAGCTTCCAAAGACCACATGTCTTCCTTGGCTTACAGTCCCCTTTCTCCATCTAGCAACACCACATCTCTCTAATCTTCCATCTGTCTCCATGTTTCTCTTTACCTCTAGCCAGGAAATGCTCTCCAATTAGAGTGATTAAATTTGGTCCATCTAAATAATCCAGGATGATCTCCCCATCTCAAGGTCCTTAACCTTCATCACATCTGCAAAGTCCTTTTTTTTTTCCCTATGTAAGGTAATGTATTGTATTCACAGGTTCTGGAGATAAGAATGAACCTTTTTTTTTTTTTTTTTTTTTGGAAGGGGATCATTCTGCCTATCTTGTTTCTTTTGAATTGTGTAATGTGTGCTGTATTACCTACTCAAGATTGAAAAAAATTATATTCCCTTAAAAAGAAATTTTAAATGCCCTCTGATCTTGCAATTCCATTTCTAGTATTTTACAGATATATTAGCATGGAGAAAGGAGTATACGTACAAGATTGTTCACTGTAAAGTTATAATATTAAAAGATTTAAAACAACCTAAGTATACACCCATGGAATAGTGAAATAAATTGTACCTACATACAAAATGAAATTGTATGCAGGCATCTAAAAGAATGAAGTAGTGATATGGAATAATCTATAATGTTAATTGTTAAGAAAAAAAGGCAAGTCACAGAAATAGCACATGTCTCTGTGTGTGTGTGTGCATTTGTGTGTGTGATATGTACAAAAATGTATGCTTTTATACACTTGCTTTATATCATGATAAATTATCTCCAAAAAGATACACAGGAGAGACACGTGGGTAGCTCAGTTAAGCCTCAGACTCTTGATTTTGGTGGAGATCATGAGATCAAGCCCCAAGTCTAGCTCTGTGCTGGGTGTGGAGCCTACTTAAGATCTCTCTTCCTCTTCCTCTGCCTCTCTCCCTCAAAAAGAGAAAATACATAGGAAAATGATAACACTGGTTACTTCTGAGAGGGAAAAACTATATCCAGAAGACAGTAATAGAAGGAAAGTTTTTCACTATATACTGTTGGATACACTTTTGGGTTTTTTGGTTTGTTTTTTTAATATTTATTTCTTTATTGAGAGAGAGAGAGGGAGAGAGAGAGAAAGAGTGAGCAGGGGAGGGGCAGAGAGAGGGAAACACAGAATCCATAGCAGGCTCCAGGCTCTGAGCCATCAGCACAGAGCCAGATGCAGGGCTCAAACCCATGAACTGTGAGATCATGACCTGAGCCAAAGTCGGACACTTAACCGACTGAACTACCAGGTGCCCCTCCATTGTGTACATTTTGGATTTTGTGTCATTTGATTGTATTGCTCATTAAAAATATTTTAATTTAAAATTTAAAAAGACAAAACATTAACAGTATTTAAAACAAAATCCAACTTTCAATTATTTAAAACAACCATATTTTAACAACATAGTTACTAAGAAATCATACTAGTATATTTATGAAGTTAAAAAAATAAAA